GTTTGAACCAAGAGAAAAAACTTTTGAGTTGTAACGTGGATGTCTTTATCTTATTCTTAACTTTTGACCACAAAAAGGGAGCTAGCACCGGCCAAGGAATGTTTGAGTTTCCACTACACCCTAATACTTAATACTTATGGTTGAAAATGTTCTGCCTATTGCATATAATTTTGGTTCTGGTTCTGCTTCTTGTCAACTTTTAGTTATCATCTCTTTGGTAAATTCGTAAAAAAATATTTTATTCTATTGAGTCATTTATCAAATAAGCTAATTTGAGGAACACTCTTATAGGGCTCACTTTGCATTGTATTTCACTAATCCACACGTCTATTTTGGAGATATTCATTTAAAGATCATCTCTACAAAAAAATCACTTGAATCCGATATCATTTGACTACTCAATTAAATTATTAAAATTTAAATGATTTCTTGAAGCACCGTATTCATTGATTTTGTTGGTCTTAATTAGATGCCTTAATTATTTTCAATTATCATGATTTTTTATAAGGATGATCTCTGAATGAATATGTGAAAAATAAAGGGTTTGGATAGTTGAATTTTTTTTATCTTCGGGGACCTTAATGGGTGTCCTTCAAATAAAATTATTTAAAGAATTCCTATATATATAGTTATTTTCTCATTCGGATGCCATTATAAATAGAGAAGAAAGCATAAAAAAGTAGTAGAAAATACATGGCGTTTACACGATAATAACATCTGGACTTCCGTATAGGAGAGAGTGATAATTTCATCCCATGAATTAGTCGACTTTTACGGGTTGATTGTCAACTTTTGAGGTTTCCGCCATTCAAGTAGGGACTCCAAAATGAAATTAAGCCAACAATAATATATTGAAAATTCTCTTAAAGGCAACCAAATATTTGTGTTCAGGGCAAGCCATGGCTGTGCCTTCACGACAAGTCAACACCAGTGTTGTGCTGGCAAGTCTCCTCCTTCAACTAGAACACTCTAAAAGGTATTTTCCCATTACGGGCGCTTTTCGTTTGCTTCCACATCACGTGTCCCCAATTGATAGACAACAAGTCTTCGCCTAGTTAGGCTTCCTTATAGACAAAGGATTACCATGGAAATTGACAATAAAATGGAATCTCATACCAATCTTTAAGTCTTCATTCCAAACCAAATTATGCTTACCAATTGGTTACACGAACATGTAACTTTGGAAAATACTACTACAATTACGTAACACTTTTTTAACAAAGACGATACACAATGTAATATATAAATGTGATTTCTCCAACATTTCTCGTAATTGTGTAACGTATGCGTCATCTTCTAGTTAACTAATCAGGGTGTTGTATCAACTCTCTACTAGAGTAGAAAGAAACCCACAAATGTGGTCCCACGTAGATGAGTTTAACTAGTTGAGAAAATAGAAAAAGTTTACTCATTTCCTTTATTAACAGTTGGAACCAGTGGCATGCAGCAGCCTAACCGTCGTAATAAAGTAAAACTCCAGGTACCTTTTGAAGATACGTTACTTCTGGGAAGCTTCTTGCTTTCTTCTTTTTATCTGCCGCATATCGAAAACCTTGGACGGAAGTCTCTCTGTACTGTACCTCTCTACATTTGTCCACAGACTCGACAGCACTCAGCAGCTCAACTGTTCAACATATTATGACAAACCCCGACTCTCATCTCTCTCACTCTCATTTTCTCACACAAGCAATTCCACAAACACCTTCCCTACATTCTTCATTCTCGCGTTCTCGCAACCACAAACCATGATTCAACGATCACACCATTACCGGCGAAACCACCTCCACGCTGTTCCTCCGGCGACCTCCGGGAGGGGGCTAGCGCTTCATACGTTTCCTCCGGAGAGTCGCACCGGCGAGCTGGTTCGCAGGCGCGGCGGCCTCATCTCCGTCCCCATGAAGCTTTGGCAGCCGCCGGAGACCCACCGCCGGATGACGAAGCTCCTTCTAAACGTGACGATCGAGAGGAGCTTAGGGCCTGTGCAGGTGGTAATGTCGCCGGAGAACACCGTCAGCGATTTGATCAAGGCGGCGGTAGAGATTTACGTGAGGGAGAAGAGAAGGCCTTTGGTGAAGGAGACCGATCCGCACCGTTTCGAGCTTCACTACTCGCAGTTCAGCTTGGAGAGTAAGCAGGCACTTTGGCTGCTATGACGTGGCGTGCTATGAATGGTTGTTGTATTCGAGGCCTGTAATTAAATACTTTTTAATGTGTGTGCAGGTTTGAAGGGAGATGAGAAGTTGATCAAGTTGGGGTCTAGGAATTTCTTTTTGTGCAGCTCAAAGTCAAAGCCCTCTGCCAATCATTCCAATTGCTGCGGGGAGGCAAAGAAGGCAACCAGGAATTCTCCATTTCCTTGGGCAAAGTTTATGGATTTCTTGCTGTAAATTGATGTTGCCTTTTCATGATGTATTTCATCAATCATGCATGTTTCTATAACAAGTTTTCTCTCAAGTGACAAGTTGTGGTTTAGATGTGGAATTTTTTTTTAACAAGCCGTTTGGTTAACATATTGCTATGATATCATATGGGTCCTCCTTAACACTTCATACCTCTTCTAACATTGGAAAGAGAGTATTTCTAAATGGTTATTAGTCTATTCCTAATCTACTCTTAGCAAGCATCAAAATTTGTGACGACGTCTAATGGGTCATACTAAATTGGACTATTTTAATTGAATTTGACAAGCATATAAGTTGTTGTTTGACATGTTAAGATTGGACAACAATCCAACATATTGTGTCTTATAAGTCTAATATAAACGGGTATGACCCATAAGGACTTGTTTGGACTTGATTCCAATTCAATCCAAACCAAAGCCACCAAACGAGGCCAAAGTTTGTCATGATGTTTGATCTCCAGTTATATTTTTTTTCTCGCTCTCAATATTAGAATAGGTCATCCGTTCGAATTCTCATTCCTCCATTAAATTAGAAAAAGTTTGGATTTTGAATGTTCGGTCTTACATGCATTAGACTGGGCTAGCCTTCGGCAGCCTTCATGGGCTTTTCAATTTTGTTAGGTGGATCTCACTATGCTAATGTTTGATTTGATGTTGGGCCTATTTGACTAGCTCTTACTTGCACAACTATTGGGCTTATGTATTTTTTTTATTTCTTTCTTTGGTCCAATGCTACTATTTACTTATTTATTTTTTTCTTAAAACATGTGAAATAATGGGTTGTCATGTGGCACACGGACCCACGGGCCGTTGAGGGCCCACCCAACCGATTAATAAAAATCATGATACAGCCTGTTAGTTAGTGGGCTAGGCTTGGATTAGGGTGTTTAAAGTCTGACCTAGATTATAGGCCCAACATAGCCCATTTGAGCCCATAAAAGCCTAGCTCGCAAGTTTGAAGTTTATCGAATTTCAGCCTTTAATAAAAAAAAGTTTTTATCATCTCAATCGCATAGACAAAGTTGATTTTCCTACAACTTTCATATATACCGTCACTCCTGCCGTTAGTAAGTATGTTAAACCATTAATGTGCCAATAAATGTTCTACGTAGATCCACTCATATGGTGCCACGTAGTCTGACAATATTATTAATTAAATCAATAAGAAAATATTATGGCTTTTTATCACAAAACGTCCTTGACATTTGCGAAACTATCAAATTGCATTCTTAAAGTTTTTTTGTATCACTCATGGTCCCTAACGTTAATATAAGTGCTCTTAAATAGTCTATTTGTCAAAAAAACTTTTAAATTCAGGGCTATAATCGTCAAATCAATTCAAAATTAGAATATATATATATATAAGTCTTCTCTCTCCCCTCTCTCTCTCTCTCTCTCTCTCTCTCTCTCTCTCTCTCTCTCTCATCTTTTTGAACTTCCTGCTGTAGCTGCTCTGCAACACCACATTGTCTTGCTCAGAATAATTTGAACCATTTGAGGGCCACTTTTATTGGTAAGTTTCGGTTTTCTAATAACTATGTATAGTTTTGAGTTTTTTTTTTCTCTTTCTGAAAGATCAAATTTTTGGGGGTATAAAACAATTTGAATTCATGCTTGTTGCTGGGTTTCTTTTATTTTTCTCATTTCCTTCCTAAATTGTAGCCCATGAC